ATGCGCAGCTCAGTGCTTTGTAGCTCTTCACTGGGAGAAAAATAAGAACTGCTCAGCCGTCTGTCCAAACCGTTGTGCTGCCAACACAAATTCACCTGCTGCCCAACCAGCAGGAAGAGCTGAGCAGTGTCCCAAGGCCGCCACCACCACCCTCCGGCCACCCCATGCAGGGATGCAAAGCAAGGATGGTCCTCAGCCCTGGTCCCAGGCAATGTCACCAAGCCCGGAAGAGCCACCTCCTCTGCCCATGAAGCATCAGGCAGGTCAGCCCCCTACCTCCATGCCTCCTGCAGCTTGTTGAGGGGGTGCGTGGGGTCATCACGGGATGGGCCAAGGCAGAGGACCTGGTGGTACTGCTCCAAAGCGGCCTGCTTGCATTCAGCACTGCAGTACGTCACCTAGAGCAAGGGGCACAGCACCCAGCATTGGCTACAGCAGCAGGGAATGGCGGTCCTCGGCCTAGCTGTGCCCCCTCCCTGACCATCTGAGCCCCAACTCTTTATCCATCACGATGCAGAAGGTAAAGGCAGACACCTGTCTTGGGGTAGAGCAAGTGCCTGGCTAGATGCTGTAAAGAAGTCACAAACCCCAACGAGACCACAGTCCCTCCCAGCAGCCCCATACCTGGCACCGGGGACACTGCTGGTGCAGGTCTTTCCGGATGCTGCACTGCTCCGGGTGAGGCAGCACCAGCGAGCTCTTCCCCAGCAGCCGCTGGGCGTTCTCCTCCGCCGTCTCCAAAGCCCGTAGGCAGTGATCACAGGCTGCGGGGAGACAGGACGGACAGACGCCAGAGTGAGAAAAGGGGCCAGGGCAAGACAGCATGACTGGTATTAACTTCATCTCCAAGCTGGAGGCACCAGTCTCTCACCACTCCCTCCCCTCCATAGGGAAGCCCATTTCTGCTGTAATTTAAACACCCCAGCCCTCACCCTGTAACACTGGGAAGTGTTTAAGGGCCATACAATGGCAAGTGTCCCCGTGTCACCAACCCACAATGGAGCTCAGCAGACAGCAGGGTCTAGGTAGGACAAAAAAGTTTAAAATCCTGCTCTTACAACCACTGGTTTTTGTTCTGGCTCCTCTGGAGAACGTTGGCACCTTTGGGGGCTACACTCTGCAGCGGTGGGATTAGGATTAGCACCCACGCCACTAAAAAATTGTGGGCTCCCACACAGATGGTGCCCGATGGTGCTTTCCTCCAGGGCTGATGGAAGTCACCATCCCTCCAACGACAAGTGTTTTCAACTCATCAACACTTCGTTTAGTGCACAGGCAGAAATGGCAGCAAGACCACCTTCCTGGTAGTGCCAAGACAAACCCAAATCCTTTCCTTGAAAACCAGGCAGCTCCTTCAGGACCCCGCGGTCACCTCGCCAGGGCAGGACACGGAGACAGCCGCGGGGCCATTGATGGGGACGGGCCACCACCAACCACCGGCCGCTCACCTCGGTAGTTGTACAGGGCGTTCCAGAGGAACTGGGACGACACCACCGGCCTCTCCACGAAGACGGTCTCCCCTTTGCGGATGTTCTTGGTGGCGAACAAGCCTTTCCCCTGCCGAGGGAGAGCCGTGGGTCAGGGGGCGCACCCGAAGCCGAAACCCACCCGGGGGCTGAGGGTTCCCCCGTCCGCCCCACCGCCCAGCCGGAGGGCGGGCTGCCGGGATTTTACCCCATTTCCCCCCAAGACTGCCGCAGGGTGAGGGAAGGGAGGGATCCCCGCGGCGGGGGGACCGGCCGGGATGGCCAGGCTCACCTTGGCGCTGCTGATGAACCGCGCCTCCGCCGCGACCGCGGCCCCAGCCCCGGCGTGACTCCCCACCACGGCGCCGCACACGTCCCCCGCCGCGGCGGCCATCTTCGGGCGGCGACTTCCCTGCTCTGACCCGCCGGGGGCGGGCAGCGCCTCTTCCTCTTCCTCCTCCTCCTCCTCCGCCCCCCTCACTCGCCACCCCGCATGAAGATGGCTGCCGACACCCCCTTGCGGGGTCCGTGCCCGCCATCACCCCCCTCAGCCCCGGGGCGGGCGGGGGCTGGCAGCCATTTTAGCCCTCCCCTCAGCCCACCGCAGCCTTCCAACAACACCGCCGAAAAGCTCCGAAACGGGGCTGCGGCTCCTCCACAACCACCTTAGGATCAGTTAGAGTCTTGCTGCCTCTCTCCTATTTATTATTACTATTGCAGCAGGGGCAAGAATAGCATTCGCGTCCCCGTCAGGCGGGAACGCAAGGTAAAGTCTCGTGGGGTGAGGAGGCATCACCAGCTGCCCCCGCGCACCCAAAAGTGGCCCGACTTTCCCCCTGAAAAACTTCAAAACACAATAAGGTGCCCTCTGCGCCCTTACTACCTTCTGCTAGGCTGTCTAAAGCCCACGAAGATAGGGGTTTAGTTGTATTTACTAATTCACAGCTGCGGTGCCAGCACCCATTCAGACTCGGTTCTGCTCTTCATCAGCCAGGCGGCTGCAGCGGGTGTGGGAATATGGGACGACTTCGTATTCGGGTGGTTTTAGGGTGTTTTGGAGTCACTAGATGTCACTGTCGGCTTGTGGCAGGGACACGATGCTAGGTGGTAGCACTTGGTGGCCAGCTGGATCCAGCCACCGTGCCATGCCCAGGCCAGCAGCCCATGGGGAATCATGGCCGCAGAGTTGGACACCTCCCCAGCCACCCGGCCGGTGACGAGGGACAGACAGACTGCCAGGGACACCTTCCCCATCTGTATTTTGGGGGCTGGCCCCAGTGATCCCAGCAGCAAGCTGTGCAGGGCACTGCTCTCCCATGTACCAGGGGCCTACAAAGACCTAGACATGGGTGGAGCAGAGTTACCTTGTGACTGCTATTTCAATTACATCTTCATGCTAACAGTAGGAAGACTAGCCACTATTGTAATAACAGCATTACAAGCCTGTTTGTCTACGGTTTTGGTGCTAAATGGTGGGGTGTTTTCTGCATGGAGCATCAGCTCCAGTCGTGGCCTGGCCTGGTGGCCTTGGCCACCAACACTTCCAAGTGTCCTTAGTGCCTCTGAACAAGCCCTGGTGCTCACAGCCTTAATTTGAAGTATTTGCGAAGCTGGGCCAGGATTGCTTCTGCTTCAGTGTTTGCAGAGCACAGGGGGAACCTTCTCCTGGACTTCAGTTCGCTGAAGCATCAGCCCAGCAGAGCTGGGGCTGCACAGAAGGTTTGGCCGCATCCAGTTGCAGATGGAGGTCCTTGCTCTCCAGCAGCAACAGCACAAACCTAAGCACCCCACGCTTATCAAGCATTTTAACTATAAATGTAGTTCTATCTCTGCAGGAACTGGCCCAGAGATAATAACTCACGTTAGCTACTTTCACCCATGATACAGGGTCATAGTATTTATTTTGTCCAAAACAATTTATTAAGAATAACCCCTCAAACTTTTGGGAAAGATGAAAATATGTCGGGGTTTGGTTGTTTGGGGGAATTTTTTGTTGTTAATAATTTCAGTTGAACATTAAAGAGAGTAGTTGGAAATATGCTTCTTTTCTGTTTTGACACTTAGAGGTTTTCAGCTGATCTCTTTAAAAGCTGTTCTTGCTCCATTCCAAGTGTTCTAAATGTTGAGACAAGTGCACAGGTTTACCAGCAAACCCACAAGTGTGGGGAAAAAAGCCCAACAACTGCTTTCATATTTGTATTGCCATGTCAGGAATGAAAACATGAGAAGAAATCACCTTTTCAAAGAAGAAATAACCCTTTTGTGACTTCTGCTGTTAGAAAGCAGATACTTTTTGACAACAAGGGTCTTATTAGGAGGAGGAAGAGGTGCGTTTCTTGTCTCTTCTTTCTTTTATATACACTCCATTTCCTCAGAAACACAACAAAAAGGATCAGTAACCTGATGAGTAAATAATTTCTGGCAGCTGTGGAGCAAGACACCATCAATGCATTGCTGCCTGCTCAGAAACCAAGGAGCTCCCCAACCCTGCCTCCCCCCAGCCAGTCCCATCTCTCTTTTTAAAATACACTAGATTTTTTATTGAGAAACAAAGCAAATAAATAAGTTACACTTATTAAGGAAAAAAGAAAAAGTCTTTCTATAAATAAAAACGTAAGAGTAAAGTGATACACAGTGTTCTGCGTCAGAAGGAGACGGAATAAATTATCCTGAGCTGACAGGACGTGGTGCCTGGTACCCTGGACAGACCTGGGAAGGCAAGGTGACAGCCTGAGCGCTGACAGCCTGGCCTCAGAGCACTTAGCTGCTAACACAGACAGGGAGGGTCGAGTACTTAGTCCTGACCCCTCAAAGCCCTCCCACCCACCAGAAATGCAACTGCTGCTAACTGCATCGGGTGGTTACAGATGTGCTCGCCAAACACCCCATGGCACCTGGCTGTATAATGAGGAGAGAACAGAGCAACTGCCGTCTGGGCCAGAATCAGCACATCTGGATGAAGGGCAGGGGGTCGTCTGAAGCACCAGAGGTGTTGGAAAGCTGCCTTTTTATAACAGCCCCCATCCCCGCACCTCAGCCAGCCCGAGTGCCTCATTCCCTGCTGCAGCAGCATACGCACGCCTTGGCGAAGTAAGGCAATGCCAGAAGGCAGAGAGACCCACTTGGTTCTCCCCTCCAGGTTTGGGAAGCCAAAACAAAGGCACAAATACACCAAGGCACAGGACAAGAGGAGGCACTTGTGTTGCAGGGGCAGGATTAGACCCTGTTAATCTTATTGCAAAAGTAATGACAGTCTGTGCATGGGAGGCAAAGGGCCTTCCAATTTCCTTTTTTTTGTTTTGTTTTTTTTGGTTGTGATCTAAGCATCAAACACAGGAGTCAAGTTGACCAGGAAAAACAAGCCGGGCTGACGCTCCTCCCAGCACAGGTCTCCCTCCTAGGAGGACACAGCCACACACAACACAAGTGACCCCGTGTTCAAATGCCCTTATGCTCACAGCCATCAGAGACACCGTCTGATTGTCACCCCAGCCTCTCTGCTGGAAATTCTGTGTGTCCTGGTGCGTGAAGAGCAAACAGGAGATCACACGCATTGCCACAGCTATGGCACCATCAAGGACAACCGGTCTGGTGATGAAGCCCCCAGAATTATGGCACATGGCTACTGAACAGCAGCCAAACAGTATTTGGGGGGTTCCTCCCAGCCAGCTGCAGTTCATCCTGTAGCTCCAACTCTCAGATCAAGAGTGTAATGTCTCACTTGGACCAAAGAAGCACAGACGTGCCTGCATCCCCAGTATCTCCATCTCCATCAAGCAGGCACGGCTGAAAAAACAGCAGTGGCAGCTGAATCTCATCAGCTGTTCAAAGCTCAACATCCACAGTGTCCTCCTCGTGGTCCTTGATGTCTGTCGAGTCCACAGTGGCAGGCTGTATCACCCCAAATTGTGACAGCTTTGCTGCCTTCTGCTCCATGCTCTGCTTCCTCCACTTGATCCTCCGGTTCTGGAACCAGACTTTCACCTAGCAGGAGAATGACACAACAGCTTCATCCAAGGTCTCTAGGAGCCCCTTTCCAATGGTGGCCACTGCCACATGCTTCCAAGGCAGATGTCCCCAAAAAGCAGAGTTCCCTAAAGAGGGGGACCTACTCTTTTTCTGCTCATGGCACAGTGCATGCGAGCAGGAGGAGATGACACTGTGGTGGGCAGAGTGGTGCTGGGAGAAATGACCAGGCGGGAAGGGGATGCAGCTGCACAGAGGAAGCTCTGGCCAGGGGAGTGAAGGAAGCAGCTCCATGAGCCACAGAACCCATCCTTGAGGCCATGGCTGCCAGAGGCACCCACCTACCCCCTGCCCCTGCTCCCAGTGCTGTTCACACCTTCCTCACCCCCCAGAACCTCCCTTGCTTTGCTTTCCCTTTTCCCCAGCTGAATTTGGATCCCTCCACAGAAAATCATGTGGCTTCTCCTTTCCACAATAAAAAAGCAGCTTGCAGTAGGAAGAGAACAAAGATACTGGGAAGAGCAGGAAAAAAAAAAAAAATCAAATCCAGTGTTATAAAAGGACACTTAAAGCATAAACTATCTCCAGAGGATCATAACAATGTAGATACATTAGTCCAACCCAGCTTGAACTCTAAAGCAAGCGGGTTTGTGCTCCAAAATGCTTTTTGTTCCACTTCATGGATTAAGAAAAGGATGCTCTTATAAACCATCTAAACCTATCTCACATCCCTCTAGGCACACGGCTTCAATGTCATCTTGCAGCAGGGAGTCCTACAGGTCACTTTGCATCATGTCCTCCTCCCACTGCACTTCACAGCAGGGGAATCGCCACAGACCAACCCCAGACCCAGGATCTATGCCACCATCCCCAGCTCCCCCGTTCCTCACCTGAGTCTCTGTGAGATGCAGAGTTGCAGCCAGGTCTACTCGCTCCGTGCCCACCATGTACTGCTGCTTGAGGAACTCCTGCTCCAGCCGCTCCAGCTGCTCTGGTTTGAAGACAGTGCGGACTCTCTTCATCTTGCAGGGCCCCCCGGACCGCCAAGGCACAGCGGGGCCCAGCGAGTTGGCCCCTACACAGTGAGACAACTCCAGACCTGCAAGAAAGCAGCAGTAATTGAAGGGGTCTGCGTGTTTGAGGTTGTTCCTCCAGCCCAGTTTAAGTGCCAAACTGATTGGACTGAGAGAAAGTAGCACCAAAAATAAGCAGGGATGTCCCTACCCTGTCCGTACCTAGATCATCTCATCTAGGCTCCCTTTCCCATGAAAGGTTGGACCAGATAATCTTTTGAGGTTCCTTCCAAGATATTTTATTATTTTACCCACAGGTTCAACCTAGGACAGTCCTGGATGTGCAGTCAAACCCAAAGAAGTCAGCTTCCAGTGAGATGACCATGGTTTGACCTCCATCTGTACAGGATCTTTGCAACAGAATAATAAAGTCCATCAGAGCTGTTGAATGCAAAAATCCCACCTCTGTCTCAAGAAGCCCCTAATCACAAAGGTCTTAAGGTTGGGGGAGTTTACCCCATGCTGGCCCCTCTTTTACACTTCCCTTGGCACCCATAGTCAGCTGTGTGCAGGAGAACATACTGAAGCTGACAGACCGACCTGATGAAGACAAGAGTGAGCAGCCCTTGTGCAAGTCCTCATACTGGACCCTAGTCCTCTGGTCTTGGTAGGTTCAACTGATCCATAAAGTTCCTCGTGTGCAGAGGCATTAGCAGGACTAACAAGTGGATCTGGTCTCAGTCTCCTATCTAGTTGTGGCCTGATGATAACCATAATTACCTAATTAACATACAATACAACACCAGCACTGTCACAAGACTAGCTGGCACCAGCCTAAGAGCAGTGCTGTCTCTGGTTTCTAAAGCCCTCATCCTACCAGCATAGACTTTGATCCCTGTTCCTCTCAATGTACATAAAGAGCATGTGATTGCTACCCCTGACCACCCCCCAGGAGCCACAGGGCTCACCCCAGCCAGCTCTGTCCTCCTCAAGGACCTTCACTCAATCCAAATCTTGCTACTAGAAAGACCGCAGGGTGGAGAGGCCACAGTCAAGGGCTGAGGAAAGGGGGCAAAAAATCTCAGCATCCAAGATGCTGGTTCTGGAGTTACAATATGCACAGAAGCATCACTTTGCACATCTGAGTGTGAAGTGCTGGCGGGACAGTTGAGCCCATCTGACTCAATGCCAAAAACTGCTGGACTGGGGACTCACTCAATCTGGGTGGGTGCCCCCCACCATTGCTGTTCTGAAACCTCAGCCCCCCAGGCAATGCGATCTGTCTGAGGTCAGCTCTGCTTTGAGCAGGGGCTGGATTCAGCAGCCCACAGAGGTCCCCCTCAGACAGAGTGGGTGTCACCAGGGTACAGCAACAGCAGCCAGGAGGGGACACTGGCCTAGTGTGACACATCTATCTGTGCACACAGAATCACAGAATCTTCTAGGTTGGAAGGGACCTTAAAGATCATCTTGTCCAACCGTCAACCCAATTGACAAAAAGAGACACCCACACAACAAACAAGAGGCATCACCATCACTAAACCATATCTCCATATCTACATCAACCCATCTTTTGAACACCTCCAGGGATGGTGCCTCAACCACCTCCCTGCACAAGCCAAGTCTCTTTAACTTTTATGGCAATACCGTACTTAACGACACCATTTCACAGCCACTACTTGTCTCTCCTTTAACGACCAATGTTGTCATATTCTCCAGGCGCAAATGGGCACCTTGACCTACTTTGTTTCATTAATTGGGTGTAAGTTCTGCGCGTGTTTAAGGATTTGTGGGATGGAGACCTGACAGCTTAACAGCCGTAATTGCACTTTAAACTATTTTCATCATTAAAATAATTTCACCTGTCACATTTTTTTTTTCTATTTTAATGCTGGGATAATGGCAAGTGTAATTTCAAACATGGAAATGGCTTTTCAAATTGTTTAACTATATTTTCATACCTGTATATTTGATACAATACATAGATTAACGCACAGCTGTGCACATGCTGTGTTGTAAAAGAAATAATAGATTAAGTAGTTATGCCAAGTAGTTAAAAAAAAGAGATCAAGAGTAGCAAACACTTTTGGTATCTAACTAATGTAGCTATCAGGATCAGATCAAGAGGTCTCTTTACAAGTAAAATACATGCTTGGCTGCAAGTTTTTCCCAGGCAACAAAGAGATCAGACTGTGAATACTAAAAAGATACTTAATTTCAAGTAACACATTCTGAATAGAGGTAGTTCTTTAAAACAAATGAGTCATTTTGCTGATGTTATGTTACCCCTCGCTGAAAATACAGAGGGCTTGGTGGATTAGCCAGGGTCATCCATCACTACTGTGTAAATTTTACCCAGTGATCAACAACCAAAAAAACTTTTCCCTCAGGTACTTTTGCACTAAATACACAAGCGTTTTTGGGGCCGGGTGCTGCAAAACACTCAGCATTTACATCTCCTCGAGTGGTCCCAGAGAGAGAGCAAAACTACAGGTGGATGAGGGCAGCTTTGGGAAAAGAGCCAGGGGGGTGCTGGCACGGGGGAGAAATTACTTTCGGGGATGAGGCTTTGGGAAATCACAGCAGTTTTTGCAAACACGGGAATTGTGGTGTCTCACCAAAAATTTATAAGAGAAATAAACGCCAGTGTGTGCAAAGGAACCTTTAAAATGCAGGTGAGGGCACACGTGGACATGGGGGGGGACTGTCCCTCACCTGAAACCTTCTGCTGCAGTCAAGCCTGGAGGATGTACATCGTGTCATTAGGGTACCACTTGACCGAGTCACTTAGTGTTGGGGGTAAATGACTAATATTAATTATCAATCACTACAGAGGGGAAAAATAGTAAGTAGGGAATTCTTCTCTCTTCTGCCTTCCTTTCCCACAGCCCCAGCTCAACTCTTTACCTTCGCCGAGGGACTGGGGGAAATTAAAACTACAGCCGATGGTAAAAAAAAAAGACAAACCAAAAAGCCCCGCAATTTTTAGTGACCCAAACCCCCTTATTTCCCAGCGCAGGTGACCCAGCCAAGCGCCCGGCTGGAGGGTCCCCGCCCCCCCCGCCTGCACTCCAGCCCCGTCCACGGCACCCCGGACACGCTCCCACGCACACACTCACCCCACGCGTGACGGGCACACCCCGCACACACACACACACACACCCCCGCTCACCTGCACCGCCCCGCCCGGCCGCGGCGCAGCCCCAGCTCCAGCCC